GATTTCATTTCTTGGAATTGGAAAGATAACAGGGTTTACATTACAGGAATTTAAAAGAACAATGAAACTAACAAGACACCCGAGCTACACCCTGAAATAACTCGAGATGTAGAAAAGGTGGCAGGGCTAGTCTACCGGGACTCCCGCCTAATCAGGAATGGCGTAGCCTTTCAGTTTTGGAGTTTAGCATCTGGTCCCATATAGAGCATTTCAGCAGTGCTAGTCCCTTCTCCTAACTGAACCATGTTGGTTTCGTAAAGCATTTCTCTCATAGCTCCATATATGTCTTCGATTTCCTCAACTGTGAACAACTCATCATCCTTTTCTTTGCCATACTTAGTCTTGACAAAAGTGTCGTAGAGATATGGCAATGGCTGTGGCAGAACCCATCCTTCTTTCTTTCTTTCTTCAGCCCATTTCTCATCATCTGGGGTAGGGTGGAAGCCTACTCCGAAGAACTTTTCTGTTGCGGGTAGAGTTACTGGCTCAGATATTCCTTGGCCCTTATCTTCTTCCAATTGACAAAAGTTATCTTTAATCACAGATTCAATCATTTATAAATGCTCTTCCAGAGTATCCCTTGCATTCTCATGGATTGATAAATGCTCCGAAGGTGCTTGCTGATGTTGTTGAATCAACAATAGGAGCAGTATTTATTGATAGCGATTCCTCAATTGACATTACCTGGGAGGTGTGCTCTCTTTCCCCCCTCAAATTCCTCATTTTAAGAGCATTAGCCGTACATGTACCTCTTCATATGTGAAGGTTTTGATCACAATTCTTTAAATGTCTTGTAATTCTTATAGCTTTTAGGTTGCTAGGAGCTAAGGTTCCTACATGAACTTCCCACCCCGCCCCCTATCCCCCCAAAAGAAAAGTGTAAATAAAGAAAGAAAAGAAACGAAAAAAGCGAACCAGCAAAAGAAAAGGAAAGAGGAGTACCTTTTCCTTTAGCTAAATTTTACATGTTGTAGCAGGGAAGTCCACTTAGAGCCAATGCAAATGCTAGGTTTAGCTTTGGCTTCCCTTTCTAGCCCGCTATCACCTCAAACATGGCTACAAGGCATGCACACTTTGTGAATTTATGGCATATAAATTTTGTTAACTTTAGAATAAAGAAGGAAACAGGGCTCTTCCGCTGAAGACATCTAATGAATTAGTCATACCACCAAGTGTGGATAAGTTATATATTATATTAGAACCTTATGACTCTGAAATTCATGAGAAACCTTGTATGAATCTCTGTGATTGGATGCTGAAGTAATGCCATTTATGTCACAGAAAATATCGGAAAAAGAGAAATATTTGAGAATTTGACGAGCTTGTGTGCTCAATGTCTTTACTTTAAGTTCTATATCCACATGGTCCCATGTAATGAGAATATACAAATAGGAGGTGGCATTGAGAGGGACAAAGATACTTAAAGGGGTCGTTTGGTTACTCGGATAAGGATATTAATCCCAGTGTAAAATTTGGGATTATAGTTATCCCATGTTTGGTTGTGGGTATGAATTTATATCAAAATAGTGGTATTAATTATCCCATATAAGAGGTGGATAGATAATCTCATGGGATATCCCAGAACTGAACGAAACAACCCCTAAGTAGATAAAGAATGTCATTTTGACTAATAAGAAGATTAGCATGTGAAGGTTAACTTATTTAACTTCTGTCTTGTGCTTTATTCTTGATTGGGGCTCAAAATGCGTTACTTGGACAGTATTCTTCTCTTTCGTTGCCTCTAATGCATACTGCTTTTGATTTTGTATGGCCTGTAGGTAGCGAAGACTCTATTAGAGCCCATAATTACACCGGAAATGCTTCAAACAAATCCAGTGAAGAAGCTCCATGAGACCTGTCAGAAGCATAAACTTAAAGTTCGGGTAGTCGATATGTGGTCACATGATGGGAGTTTTGAAGTTTTTATTGACAATCAACTAAGGGGAAAAGGCATGTGCCATGTAAAGAAAGAAATTGCATTGAACAGAGCAGCAAACAAGGCATATAATGAAGTTATTAATATGCTTAGTGTTGGCAATATGAAGATAGCTAATAGCTAATAATCTGGGCTTAGAAATAGAACTATTTCTCTCTATTTTGTTCTTATTGCTCATCTACAACTTTGGGTTTCCAAAGTTGAAATACAGACTCACCAATGAGTTTTTGGTAATGAAAGAATATTTGAAATTTCTCTGTGGAGCACAGTGACTCATCTTAACGTGAGTTAACTTCTATACACTGATAGCAGAGGCGTATTCAAGATTTCAAGAGCATGGGTGCACTATGAGCACCATAAACTTGAGTTTTTGAGAGGGTGGCTGAGAGATGTATTTTTGATTTAGGAATTTTAAAAGTTGAAACAAAGACTAAAGAAAGGAAGGGGAAAAAAGAAAAAAGAAAACGTGTAACTAGGGGTGTTCATGGTTCGGTTTGGATTGGTTTTTCCCTAAAAAGAAACCAAATCAAGTAAATCGGTTTTTCAAATATTTGGTAGCTAACCTAAAAAGTAATATAAAGAACCTATTTTATCCAGTTAAAATACACAAATTGTGAAAATTATTTACATTCTTTATATAAACTAATCCTTTTAACTTGCGCATTGGATTGAACACATTAGTTCAAATGCAGCTTTTCCAACCAAAGGACCCTTGAATTCTAAATGAAGGGCTCGACGCACACTTGTATATATGATATGGAGCTTTGTTATTCATCCTTCTTTCCCATTTTTCAATTTCCAGAACCCTTCTCTTCGATACCTACTATGACCATGCCTCCCACCTCCTCTGCTGTATCTCAACCACGGATACCACCAAAACCACCTGATTTACCCTCTATGAATCTAGATGAGACACCAACCCAACCTTCTTTTAAACAAAAACTAATTACCCCCTTTTCCTCCACTGTTGGGTCAAGAAACGTGGATACAGTGTTCTGTACCAAAGAGTTGCATGTGGAGACAGATTCAGGTGACGAACTTAACGATGATGACACCATACCGTTATCCCTGGAAGACAAGAACAGAATGTACCTCCCTTGGAAATTTTCAGTTATTATCAAATTATTCGGAAAACGAATTGAGCCACCAATTTAAATCTAAATTGAAAGATCTGTGGAAGGTTTCGGAAGAGTTATTGTTAATCGATTTAGGATTTGACTACTTCATAGTCAAATTTCTCAAGGAAGAAAGTATGCAAAAAGCACTTCACAACGGGCGCTGGTTTATCAATGGTTTCTTTCTGTCAATTAAAAAGTGGCATCTAAATTTTGTTGCCTCTGAGGCAGAAGTCACCTCCTCGGCTATTGGGGTCCGTTTACCAGAACTCCCTACTGAGTTCTATGATACAATTATTTTATCTAAGATTGGAAGCAAGTTGGATCGTCTTCTTAAAATTGATACGTGTACATCTGCAACTTTAAGGGGCAAATACGCTCGTATCTGTGTTGAGGTCCCAATTGGAATACCAGTCAAAACACACATCACTATCGGAAGGCACAAACAAAATCTTTTCTATGAAGGAGCAAATATCTTGTGTAAAACATGTGGCAGATTAGGGCATATTCAACTTAACCGTGCCTATAAGACAACAACTTCACCAACGGAGATCGAGCATGAAAGAAGCACAAAACCTCAACATGGTAGGGAAACCCAAACCCCGCCACTTACAACGAGGATGACACCTGGCAAACTATTGTTTTCCCCAGACGGAGAAATAGAAGTAACTCTAAAGCGACGACCCCCAGTCGTCCACTGCCGGTGAGAAAAGAAACGGAACAAGGTATAAATGTTAAATTATATCATGCCACCACTGGTAAGTATCTTGATTCAAAAACTCTTACTTACAAAGAAAAATCTAATTCTAACTCTTCTTCAAAATCTGTATCATATGCTCACCTTAATTTGATTGCCGTTGACAATCATGAAAATTGTCTGACTAAGCCGCTAACAAGCGACAGTGAAGCCGCTAATCAGGGGAAACTTAACTTAGAGTTAATAAAACCCAAGTTACAATCTAGCAAAACTCTTGTAATTGCCCCTACTCCTAATCAGTCACTTGGTTTTGATAAAATAGAGAGCGCCCAGATTGCTAACATTCACATTTCTAAAAACACTTCTGCCAATGCTCACCATGATAGCCTTGCATCAACTATTATTGGAGACAAAATCATGGACGAAAATTCTTCTTCTGATGTTTCAAACTTAGTCCATACTGGAAAGCAACATAAAGATGTTCACCAAAGTGAAAGCCTAGGTAAATTAACCACTCCCTCTGTAATTTCTTTACCTAATATGTTCGAAACACAACCTGAAACACAAATTCTCACCCCAAAAATAACCATAGACATTCTCGTACAAACTTCACCCAGTTATTCTATATTAATGAACCAAGAGGATTCCATGAGAATGATATCAATTCCATAACCATAAAGAATTCTACTCTTATTTTTAACTTGGTAAATCTACCAATAGTAGTGTTGATAAAAGACCCTTGATATCCTATCAAATTACACAAGGACAATCCACAAGAAGAAGCCTCAAACCTAAGGCTTCAATTGTGGGGCAAATCCTAACCTTTCACACGAACCCAACATCTCCACAATCTTGTGACCCACTCTCAATCTAACACAATAGAGGATCTAGATCAATCTCCCAAACCTTCATCTATTGCAGATTCTCCAAGCAGTTCCACTGTCCCAACAAGTAATCTGGAACCGTCTCACACTTTTTTCCCTTTAAATCCACCAACTCTACATCACTTACTACCAACAAGAGCTCAACTAAGCGTACCAGTGCTGGCGTCAATATCACAAACACCAACACTAGTAGCGACTCAAAAATGAGAGATAAACATAGGATTACAATTCACCGAACTCCTCACTTGCAGAGTTCAAAGCACTCAAATCTTCAGGGGGAACCAAGGAAAAAAGAATGTTTCCATCATGTAAATGAAACCGAGTCGGGGATTATTACTTGTGAGCCCTGTGAACCAAAACAATCCATTAGCCTCAATGAATAGCCACACTAACTTTGTCATATGGAATTGTAGAGGTTCCAATAATTCTTATTTTAGAAGAAATTTTGGATTTATGTTAGATTATCATAAGCCTTGCCTAGTTGCTCTCTTAGAGACCAAGATGGAGAATCACCAAACACTTAGAGATGATTTTCTTTTCACGAATATGATCGAAATGCCAGCTAATGGTCGATTGGGTGGTATGGTTCTTCTTTGGTCTCGTAGACTTATCACTGTTGACAGAATCTCCGTTACTCGACAAGATATTCATGCAATGGTTAAGGTATATTCCTCAACTCAACCCTGGCTATTTTCTGTGATTTATGCTAGTAACTTATTTAATTGTCGCAAAATTCTGTGGGAAAATCTTATAGCTCTTCGTGAAACTTATAATGTTCCTTGGCTCATTGGTGGTGATTTCAACGAGGTGCTCACTGCCAATGATAAATGGGGTGGTAGACAGGTTAATAATAATAGAGCAGACATTTTTTGGTCATGTATAAACAACTGTAACTTATTCGATCTAGGTTTTAAAGGGAGCAAATATACTTGGTCTAATAAACAAACTCGAAATGATTTGATTCTTGAAAGAATTGACAGATGCTTCATTAATGATGATTGGCTTAATATTTTCCCAGACGCTCATGTTAGTCATCTACCTAAAACTTATTCTGATCAAAACCCCTTACTGTTACATCTCCATGGCAATCACATTCCTAGTGCTAGCAAGCCTTTCAGATTTGAAACCATGTGGTGCTCGCATCCTGATCTTGTTAATATTATTAATGACTCCTGGNAGAAATACTGAAAAATTGTCGGGTTCCTCTGTCGTATCACTCTGACCATTATACTTTTCACCACTAGTACCATCCCTCGGAACTAACGACTTATTGTCTCATCCCAAAATTCGAAAATGCGAATAATATAAAGAACTTTAGACCCATCGGCTTTTGCAATACTATCTATAAACTTGTCACAAAAGTTATTGCAAACCGTATTAAACCCCTTTTAGACAAGCTTATCGGTCCCCATCAAGCTAGTTTCCTAAAAAATAGAAGAGTGGCCGACTGTGCAATCATTGTTCAAGAAGTTGTGAACCACTACCAAAAGATGAAAGGTTCAAAAGCTAGCGTGATTCTAAAATTGACCTTGAAAAAACTTTTGATCGATTGGAATGGTCTTTCATACATCGCACTCTCACTTTTTTCAATTCCCTCTGAATCTTATTAAACTTATTATGTCTTGTATTACTTCCTCCACTATGTCTCCTTATCAATGAAAGTAAAACTGAATTTTTTTGCCCTAGTAGAGGCATTAGACAAGGAGACCCCATGTCTCCCTACATCTTTATACTATGCTTAGAAATTCTCTCTAGAAATATCTCTCATGAGGTGGATCTAGGTAATTGGAACCCTATCAAAATTAGTAGAACTGGTCCCAGTTATCCCATCTTTTCTTTACAGATGATCTAACCCTGATGGC